TGCCCTACATGCCCAACGTCCAAGAAGCAGCCAACGAAGTTTTGCGCTTGCTGCAAACAAGCAAAGTCACTACCCAGCAGCTGAAAGAGGCCGCCGCACGCTACGGTCTCCCCCTCAACCGGGTCAATCGCCTCCCCATACGGAGCTTGCAACAGCTTGTGCGTGTGGGGGCAGCCATCGGCTGCTGACTCGCTGTCCTCAGCCAGCAGCAACCCAGCCACACCACCCTACAACACCTGTTCCACTTACACAGAGCACTTTCCATTTTGATCCACCACACCCAATACATCGACCGCGCCGAAGCCACCTTTGCCACAGGCCTTATCCACATCACCTTGCTTTTTGCATATCCCTCCAGCACCCACCGCTCACAACAATGGCGCAATCGTTTTCGCCAGCTCCACATCCTACCTCACACTTACCACTACCACAACTTCCTCTCGTCTAACTCGGTCTACATCAAGCTCCACTTCAACCCTGACCCACCCCAACGCTGCTACCACCAACATGGCCACTTCTATGTCGGCTCCACCGCCATTGGCATCCCTCACAGAGAGCATAACCGCCGTGCCAAACTCAAACAACTACAGAACAACATCCCCATTTCCGCTGAGCTTTCCCTACGCTACTGGCATTCCCACAACAATATCCACCACTACACCACCATCCAACTCACATCCCACGACACCTACGACCAAGCATGGATCCAGGAACACCACTACATTGCCAACTGGATGCCTACCCTTAACTGGCCCTTCATCTCACACCACCTCAAACTCAAAGCTCAGGGATGGCAGTTCACGAAGCATCGAGCGCATTTCTACTCCAGATTAGGCACTCACAAACGACTCTTCCGACGCCTTCGTCAACGTCAGCACACCCTCCGAGAACCACACCTCTACACCTCTACCAAACATCACGCTCTTACGCTCCTCCGCAATCTTACCAAGCATACAGCAGCTTCCTTCGAAGCAGCCAAACAATTGCGCAGTGGCCAACATGATCTTGAAGTCTACGCCATCCGGCGTATGGCCGCCAATCTCGAAGAACCTGGCCGCAGCCGAGCTCTCCACATCATCAACAAAGCCCTCCTGTATCGCAACCTCACACCACCCAAACCCAACATCCCATTAACAGTGCCTTTCCTGGCCCACGAAGACTTCACCAAGCATTGCCAACAGTGGCTCCGTACCACTATACAACGCCACAAGCATCTCGCTATCCCCTTGCACCTCCCGTCACACCGCCTCCGGGAAGCTGCGCGCAAAACTCTACGATCCCAACTACACAACCGCCGCACCTGGGAGGACACTCTCCATTCCCCGCCGGACCCGGCGGACCTCCCCTGCGCATGCCACCATCTTCGAACTCTACTGCAAGATCCTGATACACCCACCATCAATGGCCATTACATCCTCACACTGGATCAACTTCACCTCCCCACACACCTCAGCATCTTTCTCAACGCCAACATGAACAGCACCTACTATCCAAGCAAGGCTCGCTACTTCCTCACTTTTCGGACAGCCTACACAAAATGGCTTAAGATGCAGGGATTACCGCCGTCCCTCGTGGAGCACTTACACCCTTTCCTCGAACACCAATGGCGCCTTCACACCACACACCTTAAACAACAACCACGCTTTACAGCACGACTGCTTCGCCAACTCCAAGAATACCTGGGCCAAAACACAGTGCTTCACCATGCCGATCATGAGCTTCAACAACTCCGACTGTTCTGCCCCCGCCAATACTTCACTGGCGCCTTGAACACATGGCAATCCTCCGAACTTTTCGAACCACTTCCCTACCTTACAGCCGCCAACATCCACGACCATCTCAAAGCCACCGTCCCACCCACCTTAGGCACCCGCTACAAATGGGTTTCCGCAAGGATTTCAATATCCCCTACGGAGTGGTCCACCTCAAGGAGAAGAAGCAATGGCAGAAAGGCCGCGCCATTATCTCTTACTTCCATTCACTCAGCGGCAACCTACTCCGCATCACCAGCCGAGCCCTCGACATCATCCTTCAGCACCTCTATCCCCAACACCCAGGGCAACTGTCTATTCCACAACTATGGCACCATTTCCACAGCCACCTCACCCAAACCCCCGCGGACATTTCCCTGCGCGCCACCAACGACGACCTCGTCGGTTTCTTCAACTCTGTCCCCCAACACAGACTCATTGATGCCGTACACTCTCTGATTCACCACTGGCAACAACAGCAATCAACCCACACCATCACAGTGGATGTCCAAGCCACCGGCAACCCCTTCCACCACTCGGCAGACACCACCGCAAACATCCCACGCAACGCACCATCCAGACCTCCGACATCACCACAATCGTAGCCTTTGCACTCAACACTTGTATTTTCCGGGCTTGCAACAACACTTACAAGCAAATCCGAGGAGCTGGGATTGGCTCCCAACTCTCTCCAGCCCTCTGCAATGTAGCCATTGCACTCATTGAACATTCTTGGCACCAGATCCACAACAACCTCCTGCAACGCACAAGCCTACACTTCACCTACTACCGATATGTCGACAACCGCTTCATTGTCCACAACGAACATTTCCTACACCATCCTGCCATCCAGACCCTCATCCACCACAACTTCTTCGGCGACCCAGTGAGTGGAACTCGAGCCTGTGGACGACTTCCATCTCCTGGGTTTCAACATCGACCTCCAACAACGCACAACCACCTACGTGCAACCTTCCCAACCCTGGAAAATCCGGGACTCCACCACCGCCGGGAGCCAGCGCTTGGCTCTGTCAGGCATCCAATCCAGACTTCACACCATTCGAAAATACACATTTCCACCCTCCAGCGCTGAAGCTGCTGCAGCCGAGCTAGTGAGGCTCTATGTCCAAAAAGGACACAGCTACCACGCCTGCCACCGGTTTTTGAAAAAGCGCCGGAGCCGGCGACTTGTGTGTGTCCACCCCTGGACCAAGGGTTTCTTCCAACAGATTCACCTACCGATTGTTTCAACACCGATTCCCAAGCAGGGGAGTGGAGCAGGCCTGCAGAGCTCCACTTAACAAAGCTCTCTGCAGTGTCCTAAAAAAATCGGCCAGGACGCTGGCCGACGTACCTGCTCGTTCTTTCACAAGCTGTTACTCCACTTTTCCACTTTTTGATTCATGGTCCTTCATGTTACTTTCCCCACAATCACAAACAGGTCTTTTCCACAGCTGACTGCAGCCTTGCACCGCGCCGACCGAGTGACCGATCGTCTCTGCAGACTTGAACAACAATGTTTTGAAACACCTACAAGTTTTCGGACTTTTCACCATGCGGTTCTGTCACCTTCCTTCCCAACGTGGTAACTGAGTCACTGAAAACCAATGTCAGAGTGTGTAAGTGTGAGTGTCGAAGTGTAAGCGTCGAAGTGTCAGTGTTCAAAGGATTTTCCGGAAGAACCCTTTGCAATGCTTTCGGGAAAAAGTGGCGTATCCGTGGTCGTGGGCTTCAGCCATCTCAGATGGTTCTTCATTGATATCGTCATAGTCTTGCAGCATCGCTGGTCCCCATACTCAGGACGGTAGCCCTCAGTGGTCCAATTTTCATCTTCATAAGTAGGCGTCCTCCCAGGCATGGTTGAAGTCTTGCGGCGTAGCCACGACCTTTCCTGCGCCTGGGTTTGCCCACCAGCCGCCCTCTAGTCCTGGCAGTGATGCGTTTTGCGAGTCAGTGAGGCGCCGCCGTGAGACTGTCCTTTGAAACCTGCGTGGATTTCCATCGTGAGCTCTTCGCACTGGCTTTGTCGAGACAACCGTTATGCTCCAAGGCACCGCCCAACTCATCGACGCTCTTGCAGGGAGGCGGCTTCTGCAAAAAGGCTGGGGTTGCGACTCTTGTCATGGAACGCGTGGACCATACTCTGCATTCACAAACAGTCAACTTCTGCTTTGCTGAGCGTTTGAGAGGTACCTTAACTTGCGCACCAAACCTTGCCCTATGAAATATGATCATTTTGGGACCCCACTCAGCAAATTCTTGATTGCTTTCCGCTGTATCGAAAGCGGTTGTTGTCCAACCGCTTTGTATCCACCATCTCACCCAACGATTCCCTCTAGCCCTGGAGCCTAATGGTGATTGCGCTCTCCTCCTCCTCCTCATCCTCCTCCTCCTCCTTCATAGCGTCTTGCTCTTTCCTCTTTCGTCCGACCCTGAATGTACTGTCAGCGCCTCGATCTAGGTCTGCTGCCCTAACATGGTCTGACCATGTCTGACCTTTTGTCTATTGAGCCCTTCTCAGCTCCTCTCTTGATTAGCCGAAGGTGCAGAGGCGTTGTGTAGGCTTCGCGCAATCCGCAAGATAGCTGCTGGATTAATCCGCAGCATGAGCTTTAGCTGCTAAGGGGGCCCTTTCATTTGCAGGAAATGATGTCTTTCGAGTGCTTTTTGAGGGCTTTTGAAGATTGATAAAAACTCCGTGTGTCCTGCTCGAAAGAGACAGACAGACTGACAGACCGATGCAGACATACGGAAACAGACAGACAGACCGAGACAGACAAACCGAGACAGACCGACCGAGACAGACTATTGACATCTTGCGTGTGTTCGTCGGCGTGTCCTGCCTGACCGAGACAGGCAGACCGACAGACCGAGACAGACAGACCTGACCAGCGCAAGTCGCTGCTTCCCGCGCCAGTAACCAACCCGTATCCTTGTGGGGGTGCTACTGACGCATTATCCATTTAATCTGCGCAGGCGGCTTCTACCCCGAAGCGGTGTGAATACAAAAATGCAATGCCCAAGCACGCAAACAAGTGTATCGACCGGCTTGTTGGGAACGCTAGAATCCGAAAGCAAGCGGACCTTTGTTCAACGCTCTGCCCCGGGCCAGTCTCCGACTCACTACCGTGAAAGACCATAATTACGCAGCCGGTGCGCAACTGTTTTCGGGCCACATTCTAGCGGAGTATGTGTGCGTGATGAGATTAGCGCATGCGTCTCAGCAAGTTATTTCCTAAGGCAAAGCGCCTCGTTTTGTTGCTGCTGCAATCGCTTGATTTCCACCTGCAAACAGAATAGCGCTTGGAAGGATAGCAGGACACATGAACCAGGCTCACAAAGTAGCACCTGCCCTCGGCGCCAAAAGTCTTCTTGATTTGCAAAAAGTTTGGCCTCGGCCCGCTCAGGCTGCCCCCTGCCCTACAAAAGCAATCATAGCGGAACACCGACAAATGTCAAGCCTTCAACATCTACAGAAAGATCAGAAAGCATTGGGCAATCCCTTCCTTTTGCAAAGTCAACCTCTCCAGGGATTGCAAGCTCTTGAAACAATTTTCTTTCCTTTTCTTTCTCTTTAGTGTGGCAGATCAGCTTTGAAGACTTTGGTATGGTGGACTAGTGTACGGCGTCTGGAAGCTTGGGGCTGCAGGAGCAATGGGCATTGCTCGGTGAGTTGTGACTCAGCCGGTTGAGCACCTTGTGAATTCAGTGACCCTGCGCCCTGCACCCTTGCTTCTTGGCGTCACAGTTCTTCCAGGAGCAGGCAACGCTGTCATCTCCGTTGCAACATACCGGTTCGACGGGGGTTTGGTCAGCAGTACCTTCTTCGAGGTTTCGGAAAACGCAATAAAAGGGTTGCGGAGAGGGTACTCATTATGTATTAAATGTTGGGGTTTCATTGCTGTCGTATATCAACTTTACTATATGTTAGTTCATATTTTCAACAATGTTGTCAACAAAGACTCTAGGCACAACCAACGGCCGACGCACTCGATCTTGCACACGCGCAGTAAAAACCACTACAACTACAAAACAACGACAACACAAACTTTCCAACCGCAGCCAGGCCTCCCTCTCTGCCAACATGTTGAAAGGCCGTCGCATACTTTCACCCCATAGGCCCCTGCCTGTATCTCACCCATGATCCTGGACTGCACAGCCTGACGAAAAATAACTGGTCAGACAGAGTTGCGGACTAAGTCCCGCGCTTTGGAAAGGTTTACAAACAAGCAAGCTTGATCTTGGTACAACTCGGAGTGCAATCTCTGGTCAGCTGCTCTTCAACCGTCTCTTTGAGCTACAGCCTGTGTGGATGCATTGGTATGATCCAGGATCTTCGAGATGAAGGAAGTTTTTGTTCTTACCGGGTCGTACAACGCGTACATATAAATATATATATATATGTGTGTATATACTGGGGTCAGATGACTTAGGCCAAAGTGGTCCGATATGAGATACAGCTTTGCCAGGGAAAGCCCTAAGTCATGTAGAGGTGTAAAATTGGCCATTTCAATGGCAGACGTTCGCGACATAGGCTAGTTTGACCCGTTTTCATCGCATTTCTTCCAGTCCTCTTCCTGGAAGATTGAGCTAGTGAAAGAGAACATGTCATAGGAACGTCACTATGTCTTTATCCTTTGCGATAGTCGTGTGTCATGGACTGTTGTGGACTCTCTTGCTCGATATATGGGGTCTGATGACTTAGGACGTTTGCCTGTTTCAAAACCAATGCACAAGCCACGCAAAGCCGCTGAAATGGAATGCGTGACTTAGGCTTTAAGCGCCGACAAGACAGGAGTGCAGTGCAGTGAGTACGGTGTTTTGACGTACGTACAAAGAAACAGGTGGTTCAAAAGTGATGAACAGGAGGAAATTGCTGCTCTCTGCAGGTAGGCGTGCTTTTGCGATGTGATTTCTGGTTGGGTGAAGGTAATTAGGCGCGCAGTGCGCGCAAGTCCTCAGACATAGGACTCGCTCTCGTTCACGGTTGCGCCCCCGGATGCTTGGCAAGCCAAGTTGGCAAACAGAAGGAGACTAGGCGGTGAACTTTTTGTCTGGCGTCTGTTTAGGTGAAAGTGATTGGATGCAGAATGCCCGCAAGTCCCAAGTCACAGGGGTCTTGACAACGATTCCACCCTTTTCTCCATTGCGCCAGCAATGTTGGCAGAACGGGAGGAAATTGCTGCTCTCTGCAGGTATTCCAGCCAGTGAGCCGGTTCTTCCTGATCTTTGCTGGAGGCGGGTTGTTCTGACAAGGGGGGATGCTGTCGCGCTTGGAGTGGTAGTAGGTGGCAATGGAGTCACACCAAGCATGGAGGCTGTGAGGAGCCTTCCCCCGCGCCAGGTTTGCCCATGAAGTTGGGCTCTTTTTAGTGCACGAGTAAAGGATTTCTTCTTGGGATAGGGCTGGTTGGAGTCCAGGCGTAAAGGTTGAGGTCCTTGGCCACTTGGCTTCGCCATGGATGGTGCGCGGAGAGCCGCAAAAAAAAGAGGTGGCTTCACTGGATCGCCTGTTCACAAAGTACCCTGTCCGGGGACTTGGGACCGTGGCGAGCGTCCAACTTTCCAGGGGTATTTGGGGAACTTGCAGATGTGTCCAAAGGGCAATCACTGCTTTTATGGTCAGACGGACAGTGGACCACTCTCCTTGCCAACTGGCCAGAACCTTTTCGCCAACATGATGTGGTTGACTTCATCACATTCTTCAACAGCTGGAGCCCTTTTTCCATAGCTGTTGTTGGGAATCCCGGCTTGAGGAAGAAGAAAATTTGAAGGTTGATGCCCAGGGGTGCGCATTGCACGTGTACATCTGCGGTGATCATACAGACTTGCAAGGGCTTGTTTCCACTTGGAGCATGGCCTCCTTTGGCCTTCATGCCCTCACAGAACCTGCAGATGTGACATGCCTGCACATCGGCCCCGCTTCGACTCCCGAGCGCGGAAAAGCCATGCTAGACCTGGGACACCAAGGTCTGGCTTCCCTTTTTCCTGGACCGCAAGTTGGAGGTGGACCACATCCCCTACCAGGTTCTCGGGGTCTCGTACCACCTTGGCTCTGAAGCCTCAAGCGGACACTACCGCACAGTTTTATGACGACGACAATGAGAACTGCTGTCTCCTCTGGCTGAACTGCATGCCACATGGGGGAGCTGAAGAGGTCTCCTTGCTGGAAGATGAATCCCCCATCCTGACGGACGAGGAGAAAGTGCACAACATCATTCATGACCCCTCGATCAATGACAACTGGCGTGCACAATGGCTTGACCTCCTGGACACCAGCATCCTGGTGGACAGTCCCAGCCTTTGTCATCGGCTGGTCGAGAAATGCATCATGTGCGGCAGGCTGGCCACGGGACTTGAACACCCACATCGAGGTTGTACACCGCTCATGGTGGGACGAAGCTAGTCACTTGGCTGAGAAGTGTGCAGTGAGCTTCATTTCAAAGCGCTCCCAACCAGATGGTGTGCCTGTCAGCCCTTTTACAGTATTGGCCTCAAATGAGGACCACAGCTGCCCGTGCTTGAAGCAATTTTCAATCTTGCATTTGGTGTTGCGGTCCCAGCAACCGCAGCAGGCTCGAGCCTCTACCCTTGCTCGCCTGCTAGATATGAAATACAGCTAAGGGCTGAGACGGCCCCCCCCACACCGCCAGGTGGGACTTGCAAAGGTCCACACGATCATCGACTGATGAGCGTATGAAAGAAAGAAAGAAGAAGAAGAATAAGAAGAAAATGATGATGATGATGATGATGAATGATGATGGTGAGGCGATGAGAGCGATGATAGATTGACTGTTAGACAGTTGAAGTTGGAAGCCGTTCTTTACGGAGAACCCTTCCCAGGCGCTGTCGGGAATGTCAACCTACAGGGTTTAATACAGGCGGAAACATGATAGAACAAACCAGGAAAATTGACCAGCTGACCGCGTGAGGAGGTGACACAAGTGTCCTGGAGTTAAACAGCTTTCGAGGAAATCAATTTGACCGCGTGAGGAGACATGAGCATCTTGCAAGATTTAGACAACTTTGGAGGACATCAATTCAACTGCGTGAGGTGACGCGAGTGTCTAGCAGGGTTTGAACAGCTTTGGAGAGAATCAATTGACTGCGTGAGGAGGTGAGGAGGTGACACAAGTGTCTTGGAGTTAAACAGCTTTGGAGGAAAGCACTTTGACTGCGTGAGGAGACATGCGTAAGCATCTTGCAGGATTTAGACAGCTTTGGAGGAAATCAATTCAACTGCATGAGGTGACGCAAGTGTCTAGCTGGATTTAAACTGCTTCGGAGGGGATCAGATTGGCTGCGTATGGGGACAACAGTGTCTTGCAGAGTTCTTCAGAAGAAAGACCCTTGTCCTGGTGGTGCGTCATTGTTGCTAATTATAAGCTTACCCATTACCAGCCTTTCCTATATGTCCAATTTCACAAGGCTTCTGGAATCCTGAGCACTTCTATGTCGTGATCATGCCTCCAGATTTGCAGTTTGGAGAGTTTGGAGTGGTTCTTGGTGTCCTGAGGCCAGCGGAGCTGCTCTTGCCACTTCCAAAACGAGATAGTTCCTGTGGGGTCTGCACCAGCTGCACCAGATTTGGCAGGTTGCCTGTGAAAAAAGGTGCAACCCTGGAACTGGACTGGACTGACTAGCCAGTAGCCACCTGCGGTGTTACACACGGCAACAATCAATCTGAGTCTTGAGTCAGCAACCCGCATTGCATCATTGGAGCTCCGCCAGGGTCTTCGGCACTTTGTCCAGGGTTGCAAGAATTGGATTTCGCATGATCTTGGCATTCTTGTGATTGCTACACTGTTCAGTATTCGGTTGAGACTCTGTGTGATCCAAAGAATGTGTTTCTATACAAAGATGTGTTCTAGATGTGATCCAGTCTTCCTGCAGCCGAAACACCAAACAGTTGCATGCATCAAAGGATTTCCGTGCTGCACCGTGCTCAAAAGGCGATTGACTAATGGACCAAAGACCAATCGAGATGAAGCACAATCCAAAACTACATATGTAGACAGAATACATTGAGCACTGTTGGGAGGCCATTGAACTTACCACTCAAGTAGCCGTTCTGGCAAACTTTGCAGCGTCTCTTTCGACAACGCACCGTAGATCCCTGGACCATCATCATGCTTCTCCTTTCCTGCTGCACTTCATTCAATCGCAGCAAATGTCTTTGAGTCTAGGTTCAGCTTAAACCAGCTTGATAAGGTCACCTACTTGCTAATATAGTGAATATCATTGTCACCAACCCAGGCCATAACTTGCTGTAAGCACTGAGTAGTCCATCAAAGTCTAGAATGTCTTGAAGCACGCCAATAATTGATTTGATGTAGTTGGTTCGTTCCCATCACAGCCTTTGGACAATTGGCCGTGCACCTCACATCATAGGCCTTACAAAAATGGCCCAAACTGAAGTGAGGTCACTTGCTTGTGAACATGGTGGGCTAAGCCATACTAAGCCCATGTCCTGATCACATTTTTCAATGGTTTGATGCCGAATTTGATGCCTCTTCTTTTCTGCGCCTGGCGCTGCGCTGGTTGTTCTCCTATGTGCTGTCCGATATGTTGCTGGCATGTGAGTCTCGCGAATGTTGCAACAAACCAGGATAAAAGTAGGAAGCCGTTTTGAACAAATCATTGAAAATGAGACCATGTTGCTGCAAGACTCTACTGGTGACATCTGCAGTCTGGAGTCAATTCATTCTCCCTCAGTTTCCCTGATTATAGAGGCACACCTTTTCCACCTGTTGGATTTTAGATGATTTTAGTGAAACACCAAGACCCAAAAAAACCTTAAGGCTTAAAGGATGTTAAAGGTCATCCACCGACTGCGCTCGCATCACCCCCCAAAAAACAAACTGATCACACACACATTCCGCACGTACACCCACACACACCCACACTGGAGGGTCTAGATTTTGTGCATCAATAGGCCAGCCAGATTGTCAACGTTGTGGCCGTGTGGTGGCATGTGAGGTTCGAGGCAACAAGTGCATCACTACAAGTAACAAGGGCATTACTATTGCTACGAAGGTGGAGGCCAATACTACTAGTAACAAGAAGCCACTACTATAGTATTGCCCTCGCTACAAATAGCGATGCCCTTGTTACTATGCAACTCAAACTAAACCAGTCACTGCCAGCCTTCTCCGCCGACTGTGGCTGTGCTTCTCCTTTCCTGCACAGTTGCAAACCCAATCTTCTGGTGTGTCTCTTGGCTAATACACGTCGTTCCCCCCGAAACTGTACGGGTTAACACTTTTCAATCAGGCCCTCATCCCAACTTTGGCCTGGAACCCAGGAACTCTAGAGCCAGATTTTGTTCGTAACTTTTCGCTTGGAACCCTGGAGCCGTGTGACTCTGAAACCAGCTACTGCCAATCGCTATTTTGAACATCTTCATAACACTAACGAAATCCAAAGGATATCCTTTGCACTTGTGCCTGTTGTGAGTCCGAACCCTACTTTTTGCTCCCACCAAAAATTCAATCTCCCAGCATGCGCATGCCCCAAGTCAGCAACCGTGCACACTTATACAGTGTGCTACATGCAAGAAGTGCCTTCTGAGTGTCCTCTGTCCTTTTCACTTTTATCTTTGCGTTTGTGTCTACGGGTTTGGCCTCAAGAAAGTACACTGAAGCGTAAATGGACAGTACGGGTTCGAAAGTAACGCTGGGACTTCTGCCTTTTCTTTCCATTTCGGCTGACCTGGTGCAATGCATCGTGCAATGCATCTCGTACAGGAAAAGGAATGCAGCCGGCCTCTCAGCATCCTGCAAAACGTGGAAACTACGATCAAAGAGTCACTGGCAATGCTCCACTTTTGATACCCAACTTTGTCAACCAAAGTTGCTTGCGAACTAAAATGCGCTCACAGGCTGAGGAGAATGCAGGAGGCCGACTCCAAGCTGCACCAGCAGAAGCAGCCTCGCGCATTCTGTCTCATTGTGAATGGAAAAGCGGTGTGCTGTGTATATATATATATGTACACACACACACATCTACATTGTAGTACAATATACTATATGAACAATGTAATGTATGATGTATATACAGTATTACTATATATATATATATATGATATCCTTAATATGCAACCCAGCCCAGCAGTACATACCCAAGCCCATGCCATACCCACCTTTGAGGGGATAGCAAATGTGTTTACCAGCCGTGCTTGTCAAATGTGGTTAGCTCTTTAAGAGCAGTTTGCGGTTTGCGTGGTTTTGCGGTGTTTAGAAACTTACCATAAACAAAGCCTTCCTTGATCTTCCTTCCTGTTATGCAATGTGCTGCTTTCTTGCTGTTCTGCCCTGCGGTCCTTTCAAAGTGGAATGCGGCTTGGTCGTTTCAAGGAAGTGCACAGTTCAACTGTCAACAAATAGAGCCATTGAGCATAATGCTGTTCGAACGGTTCGACCTTTTTGAGCACGAAAGACACGCGGCAGCTACAGGCTACAGCAACATCATCTATAAAGACTTGTGACATGCGCAACTTTAAACATTCTGCCACGACCTGCGCGGTGGCACACTTTGCAAACTGCTGCAAAGGCAGAAAAAATACTTCATTGGGCGCAAACATGCGCAAACAAAACTATGTTGCTATCGCCACCCACACAACCTCGACATCACTACATTGTCATCTTAAACAACAAGTATCCTGTGCTGCACCCAACGGCCACATCTTAGTGCAAGTACTATGTAGAACTCTCTGTTACCCTGCAGCTTAAGATCGCACATTTAAAACTACTGCGCCTGATACCCATCGTAGTTGTTGGTGTTGGGAGATGGATTCCCTGACAACAACTGTCAAACCTCCTCAGCTTTCTTGCAATCTTCAATGAATTCATCATCTGAGTCACCCCAAAATGACGGTGGCTGCGACCAAGCACCAGCCATGCGTTCCTTGAACACGACAGCGATACATCCGATAATTCGACACAGCCTGCTATCAACAGTCCTGCCCATTCACAGCACTTTGGCCCTGTCAAAGAACGATCTGATCCAATATGAAAATTTGTGCTGAAAGTGATCAACAGTGTTTACTTGCATTTTGCTGATCTGCCTCTTTCTCACCAACTTCCTGGCAGAACTCCGACCACACACATTTTGTTTTCGATCACTTTGATATTTTCACCCTCGGAGCTTCGTGGTACATGCTTCTGGACAACCTAGTTTCAACCATGGAGTTCTGAATTTGAGAAAATCAAGTCGGGCCTTCTGCTTTCTTTTTTCCAATCGAGAAGCAATCTTCCGGTGTATGACCTGACAGCTTCAAAGCAATCCTGCCCGTCAGTAGCACAATTGATCACGATTGACATGCCTCCAGTTCTCGCTCCAGCAAATCTCGGAAAAACCGAACCTGGGTGTGGGCGGCAACACAAATTGGTTGAGTTTCAATTTGGACAAGAATGCCCAAACGCTTCCAGGCTACATGTCTTGCGTTGTCCTCTTAAGTTGTTTTTCACTCACCACTCCACCCGAAGATCAAGTGATCCCTTCAAAGAAAAAATCGGCCTCCACCTTTGCCTTCGGTCCGCAAAGTAAGATGATGATGCTTGAGCATCAACATGGATCTGAAATATTTTTCAATCTGTGTCATTAGCTCTGTCGCTGGGAAGTAGATAGGCCTTAGGCCATGTCTCTTTGTTTGGCATTTTTCTGAATGCGAGGACTTTTGTATATTGGTTTTTTTCCCACAGGGTAGGTCAAATTGCACTTTTTCACTCGCTCGATTTTGTATCTGGAGGTCTCGTGTATATGCGGCTACACCAAGCACTCTGGGTACTGATTATCGCGCACCTCTAGGTACTGATTATCGCGCACCATCACCATCGTTGATCAGGTTGCCCAACCATCGTGATTGCCCCTACGCAGTTTTTCCACCACGGGCACCAGGTCTCGATCCCACTCTTGACAGTATGCCCAGCCACTGCCGAACTTATTAGACACTGCTCAGCTATATCATGCATTCAGTTCTCAACATTGGCCTGTTAGGCCAAGAAGTTCTGAGCCCCGATGGGAGGGCCCTCTATGTGAGTGTGTGTAAACCGCTATTACAAGCGGCTGAGCTAGTGTGAATTTTTGTCTTCACTCCAATAGAATCCAGCAGGGTCACGGGCACATGGCATCTATGACCCACTGTGTGCAACGAAGCTACGGTCATGGATGGGAAGGGACCACCTTCCTGTACCTGCATTTTGAACAATTTTTGAACTATTTTTCACGCTGTCACTCCACTTGTACAGGCTGTTGCAGGCCCTTGACTTGAGGTTTGATTTTTTTGCATATATCGACGGTGTCGCCTATACACACGATGTTTTGGAGGTTGTGGACTTGGGAGGTTCTTGCCTTTACCAACATTCTAAAGCTCCTCCCACTAACTCTTCCCAGTGTGTCTGTGCGGTGACTGCTAGTCAGATGGACAAGGATTGCTTTGAAAATGCACAGGTAGGTACACATTGTAGAATGATTTGAACCATTGACAATATGTGTTTGTACACAACACTTTTTCATCATGTTGCGTCATCCTGAGCTCTCGACATTCACTTCTTCCGTGCAACGCCCGACAAAGTGAAGCTGTCTGCAAACAGTTTTTCCGAATGCGGGTGGACGAACTACACAAACATGCTCTTCTCATGGGTTTCCGTTTTCCTCCGTTCTCTTGCATTTACCTGCTCGCCCGAGCCAAATAACAACCGAAAACAACAGAAAACGATCTCAAATAACAATCCAATCTGGTCCAAGGTGTGCTCTCCGCCCCCCCTCTGACAGTGAACGACTCTGGTCAGTAGCAACCTGCCACAGGCTTTTGGTGCGGTCTTGTCCTGGGAGGAAAGGAGACCCACGCAGTTGGAACCTCTTTCCTTCCTGTGTCCTTGCTTCTTTACCCGCTTTCCGTGTCACCCCGCGTCTGCATCTCTCTCTATGAATCTCTATTTCCCCCCCTTTCCCACTCTCTCCTTGAGTTGCAAGCTCTCGCCCAATATCCAAAGCCCCTGAACTTTAAAGACACTAAAAACTAGTGGAAACAAATTCATTGAAACCTTCAGTCGCGCTTCTGCTTTGATCCTCTCCAAACCAGAGCCATCTGCACCAACCTTGCAGCCCAAACTACTGTGTTCCACACAACATCATCTCCCCACATTTACACAAACATACACAGGTAGTGTTTGTTAAGCTTAGGTCACCATCCACTCCGACATTGATTGCCAGCTGGTTTCGTTTCCAAGAGAGCGGCAAGCTCTGCCACCACATTGAACCTGTGGATCAGTAGTACCGACAAACACATCAATCAACATTGCAAATCTGCTACTTACAGTACATGTTCTGTTTTGTCAAACAGCTCCAAAAGGGGCCTGTAGCAGTTGGTCTTCCTCTGCAGAACACGTTCAGACCTGCCATTGAAGCGTGGGTGCATGTGCACATTGACAATTACTAAGCTGGCTGGGCTAGAAACATGCCCAAACAGGCTCGGACCATGAACCTGCCAAATCAGTCGGATCTGCCTGGAAGTGCTGCTACAAAGCCGCAAGAAACACCCAACAAACAATCAACAAAAAAACACGTATGTAAAAGACCTGATTGGACCCAAAACCCTGAACACAAAAGACTTACAAATTGAATCAAATCGATATCTCGGACCTCTCGCCTGACACTCTTGCAAGCTACTCGTGCGACACTTTGGTTTAGCGGTTAAAAAACAGAAGGTTACCAGGCGTTGAACCGCACTGCAGGGAGTGTCTCACCCTCGCGGGTTTAGCTAATGGATGCTAAAGGGTCAGTTGAAGGGGACTCGCGCAGGGAAATTGAAAAAATTGTGGAAGGGGATGGAGGGGGTCTGGCGAAGGGGGGTTCGGGAAAGGGTCTTGGAAAGTGGACACGCTGCTGGCATTGCTGACAAGTCCTCCCTCTTCTCACCCTGCTCTTCATCACACGGCCGCGCAATAACATGTGGCGAAGCCGACTTTTTTTCAAGTTTTCATTCTTTACTGATTCGTAATGCCCACCGCATCACTCTTAAACACACTACCGAGGATATTCCTGGCATGGTCAACAAAAACCTTCCCGTCCACTCTGCCCAATTTGAATCACATGGTGATGCGATGACAATGCTGTGGCACCGATGATGATGATGATGATGATGACGATGATAAGGACCATTAGCTGTCAGGTCCCTTCACTCCCCCGAGTGGGGGGCTGGTGCGGTCTCCCTTCCATGGTCGTGCAGGGCATTGGGCACACCACGGGCATTGATTCCCTCGATTACAAGCCCTTTACCCACCATCCTGCAGTTCAAGGCGAGGGCATCGCATCTTGCAGGACACTGAGGAGGTCATGGTCTTGGTCTTTTAGATTGCCATTTTCGGCATTGCTGTGTTCCACCTGACACTCCTCCACGACTTCAGGATCTACCTGAACTCTTCTTCTACTAGCGGACAAAGATCGTGGACACCAAGAACAACCTTCCAGGTCTCTGCAACTGGGACGAGAGCTAACTGGGGTCCCAAATCCCCAGCCCAGGTTGGACTGATTTTGATTATTTTTCATGATCTTGCTGAACTTCAACATGGACTGTTTTGTTTTGGGAAGCTCATTTTGGTTCTGGAAAAGCTTGGCGCGACCGTGAACATCAGAAGGTTCACAGCGCCAGCGTGCGCGGAAGCAATTTGTGAAAAGGAAGCTGGACCATCAGGCGCTATGCATTCCTTCGGAGCAAGGAACTTGTCAAGAAATACCAATCAAAGAGAAGCGCGAATATTTGGGAATACAAATGGGATACTTCAATTTTCAGCGTGACACTATGAAGGTTTGACCTCAAGCCTGCAAACTTCGCTACAAGCAAATGCATCGTTGGTTCACAAAGAATTCCCTGCGCTCGGCTCAGAAGGTGGCTCTATGGCAATCACGTGTACTTCCCGTTGGAATTTATGGACTGGGTGCCACTGGAACAGACAACACGGCCATTCCGCTTTTTCCAAGACTATGGTAACCATGATGAGACAGGCAGCCGGAGATCATTCTTTTTTGACTCACAGATATCACACCTTGCCTTTCTTTCGGAGCATCACCTCCAACATCCGGTAGCGTTGCTTCGGGAGCGGATGGCCTCATAATTCAACGGCGTGAGGACAGGCTTCTTCAGTTGAAATCATCAGACATCCTTCACTTGCTTGATCTTGACACACTGCGCTGCTCGCTCAACCTTGTTGACACCTGGATTCAGGAACTTGGCACGGCTGACATTGGAACCGCGCTTCCTCTGGCAGAGGCAGGTCTGGATTGCCAAACATGCGGACAGTCGTTTCGACACCTCTACACTCTCAGACGACATGAAATGTATACGCATGGAATCATCCATGCCAGTGGACCTCAACTGGAAATAGCTAGAGACTCGGTCGATGGCCGTCCCATTTGTCGACATTGCGGGGAATCCTTTATCAGCTGGCAGAATCTTCGACACCGCATTTTTGCTTTTGCTTGCGCGCAATTTGATCCATCCAAGGCACCACCGGAACAGCTCTACGAGTACTGAGTACCGGACTCGGCTCCTGGAATACTATGATGGCGGAGACATGCGTCCACTTGTACAAGATTGCTACATGGGCAGAGATCATGGGGACGTCTATGCACTGATGGGTGATGTCCTACCCAGCGTGGTTCGTGCCAGAACCTCATCTCCTTGTGAACTATGTGAACAACAATTCCGCAGCAAAACCCACACCTGTCCTGCGAAGAAGCAACTTGGGCCTGCTCTGGCCTGCCGGAAACATCGAGCATAGCCTTTGGTGCCATCGCGGCGGCGCCAAGCTGGGCACCAGCAACCGCCTTGGCGGTAGCTGCGGCGGGACCAGTGGTCGGATCCATCCGCTTCTGTCCTCCAGGCACACTTGCAGCCTTGGATTCCTCTCCCTTTGCACTCGTCTGGTGCTCCACAAGCTTTTTGACGCCGTCGCTTATGGAAGATAGATGCCCTTCGATGTTCTCCAACGTCTCTGCAATGGAGAGAAGTTTCCTGCGTGTCCTCCTCCTGTTCCACAACCACCCCAGAGGATGGAAGCGCAATTCTCATGCAGTCAATGCGCCCGGAAGCTTGTGACCGCCGCAGGGCTCCATCAGCACCGAACCCGGAACGCACTCACTTGACGACCACCAGGACCTATTTGCTGCCAGAGATCAAACTCCAGGCAAAACTCAATGCGCTCATTGCCATGCTCAATTTTTGAGTGTGGCTGCTCTTCGGCGCCACATCGACGGTGGGCACTGCGCCGAGCCTCTTCCTGATGACCCACCTCTTCTGTGGCATCCAGTGATCATCAGGCCTTCATGGAGGGACGTTTGATCATTTGATGGCCTACAAATCCTTGGTCAGGCGGCTGGGGTACATATGTGGCCCCTGTATCAGGAAGCTCAGCCTCACTCCTGAAGCACCTGGGCCATCAGCACAATTGCAACTGGCACCTGGCAACATCCTACGCCGAGTGGCTTAACTGACAGCGCTCTTCGGAATCTGGGGCGTTCCTGCCTCAGGCCTCCATCACGCACGGTCTTCACGCAGCTGGCCCTCTTTGTTCATCATGATTTGAACAAATTTCAGGAGGCAAGTGATGAACTCATCATGGCTCTTGCGCTACGACTCGATCTTCAGGTTTTGAGTCCTACGATCTCACTGTCCTTCCCTGACCTGGACAGCCTTCTGACGGCTGGGCACTTTGAAGAGCTCTTTGCGGATGAGGCACACTGCATGCTTAGTACCTGGTGAAATCGACCCCCGTGACATGCTTCAGCACTTGTGGAACCAACGTGCCAAGCGTGGCAATAGAGGAAGTCTGTAATTATACAAGTACCTCTCCCTCAACCAACAGAAGCAGCAAACTTGCTCGGTTTGCCCTCCAACCTGCTTCCCTTTTAGCAATCCTTCATCATGGACATGGAAACCAACCAGGTCTCCGAGATGTGGGGAGCCTTGAACCAATGGGTAAGGATGGAGGTAGACGAGGAGAAGCAGAGTGTCAAGAGGCCCCGATCCACTACGTCGAATGGAGGGAAGAGCCAGGGCAAAGGAAAAGGAAGAAAAGGACAGGGGAAGAACCAGAGCACCAATGGCGGATCCACACCAGATTCAAACAACCTGCTGCAGGCACTGAGCAGTTTGGTGCTAAGGCACGAAGACACACTTCAATGCCTGGCCACGGAGACGGACTTCTTCGTTTTTTTGAGCGCGGGCCCAGGGTCCACACTACCCATCATGATGACACAAACAACGACTTGGCACCAGACGCCACAGGCGGAGAGGTTGCACCCATTGAGGATTCTGGTTCTGAAATCCCTGCTTAGAAGCTTCAATCCACGGCCTCCTCAGATCCCTTGATCCAAACGTTGCTACGCCTGGGGGTTCCTGCAGCTCGAGGACAAGACGGATGCCTATGTCTTTCCCAGGATGAGATGGAACCACAACAAGCAGATCATGGAAGCCCAAGAGGACGCTCCGCTGACCACCGCTCAGGCAACACAGACCTTGACCAGGATGCTAACTGATCAAGCGGTTTGGAGCTCTTGGACCATCACAGCAGATCCAAAAGATCATGACCACGGACACCGACAAACCCTCAGCAGTCGTCCCCTCAAAAATCACCCTGCCCTGACCAAGCCACACGCGTCCGAGATACGGGGCCTGTGGCTCAGGTCTTTGGCAGCTGGTTTTGGGGAGGATGAGACCAGCAACCGTGCAGCGGTCGCCAGTGGGGCAACGGCTGGGCAAGATGCTTGGGGATCTCCAGACACCTCTACTCCTTCTCTACGGCCGCTGATGAATCCAGCTGGAGCGCAAGAGAGGCAGATGGCCGGAGCCATTTAGACAACATGATGTGACTGATTTTGCTCACCATCTCCTTCAGCAGCTGAACCCCAATTTTCTCATCTGTTGTTGGGAACCCCGGCTGGAGCAAGACGGAGAGATCCGTGTGGTGGATCAAAGCGCCCTGCATTGAACAAAAGAGCACCCTGGCCGACTGCTCTTCAAACTCCGCTTTCGAAAACAGTCATGTCACTGTTTGTACAACATGCCAAGCTCCTTGCTCTTCCTGGTTTGATTTGGTATCCACAGTTTGCCTACATCCCTGGGCGTGGTGCATGGGAAGCCATCTCACGTGTGACTGCCCACGTTCGTGAGGTCCAAACACCGCTGGCTCGCTGGAAATACGACGCCAATACAGCTGGAAACGGCCGAGAACAGAAACCTCGGGTGTACGGAGGCTGCCAACTTTTCCTAGATCTCACGGGGGCCTTCGATGCAATGCCTCGCGAACACCTCTGGGATGCTTTCAGACTGCTTAATCTAATCCTGTCGCTGTCTGGAAGCTGAACAAGCCACATTCCGCGGCATCCGACAAGGATGCCAAGGTGCACCCTTCCTTTGGGCCTGCTTCTAGAGCAAGCTGCGACAGAGACGGACGTTCGATGAGAAACAACTGTACCTTTTATGCTGATGATGATGGTCGCGCGTGCT